GGAAAGCAGCAGGAAATCAGTCAGCTGAGCCAGATGAATCAGAATTATTTAGTTCCCACTTTAGAACACAGAACCACGTTCTCTTTGTACATATATGACTACTGTATAAAATAATCTGCCTGAGGGGAATATTTACTCATAATATGCATCGAACTTTTCAAATGTATGTATTTACCCTATCAGTTGTTATAAACGTGAGTCTCCAGAAAACACAGTTTTATAAATGCAGTACTCTGTACTCACCATAGAGGAGAAAACTTGTATTTGAACTGCCCAGTTTGTTGACAGCAACACAGGTGTAGTTGCCGTAGTCACCGTCAGTCACGTTAAAAAACATCAGCTTGGACACAGACGGAGAGTTCACGATTTCCATCCCATCTAACCCGTTAAAGATTCTAGAGAGAAAAAAAGTTATATCTTGAAATCCCCAAATTGATGTTGTGTTTTACATTTGCCTAATCCTCACAGTGCCTGTGTGTCTGGTCCATAAGGATTAGTAGCTGGTAAGTAAGTGTGCGCGCACACACACAAAGATGGACACTGCACACCACACACTGAGAAAAAAGCTCATGTAAAAGTCATTACCTTCTGTCGTCTTTGTACCACTCAAAGTCAGCCTCAGGCACAGCGTCAGCCTCACACTCCAACACTCCCCTCTGGCCCGGGGTCACACCAACATCTCTGCCCTCTGACACAGTTGGAGCATCTACAAACAGAGGCACTGTGATCAGAGCACAAGCCGTGTCAAGGAAATAAGGAGAGGCCTCGGAGAGTTTCCTCCTCCCTCTCTTCCTCAGTCACGGCTTTGATTCATGACTGTGATCTGCTCCATGACCAAGAGTTAAAAAGGAATTATGAGGTCAAATAACGTACAATATTTATCACACGGCTGAGAGTACATGGTGTCAGGATATAATGATGAGAAGGAATTAATGGCTCAGACACAATTGTTTTTTTTCCACTTCTCCTGCAGCAAAAACACTGCAGCCCATTAACTATATTTTCCTCTCTGTTTGAAAATTAAAGTCCAGATTGAATTATGAAAAGCCTCATATTTAATTCAGCACTATGGGCACCTGACATTTTGGTCATTAACCTTTTTTTCTTTGACCTCTCTTTTATTTTCTTTACCGTCCATTTATTTCTTGAAATGTAGTTTTCATGGAAATTTCTTTCATTTATCTTTACATACTGTATATATTTCCATATAATACAATGGGAGAATAATTAAAATGTATAATGTATAAATACATATGACATGTAAGATACAAAAGTATAGATAGATAGATAGATAGATACATAGATAGATATAGAAATATTGCACATAGATTATTTTAAAGATAGTTCTAAAAAATCCTGCAGTGGACTCTTACAGTTGACGGTGATGTCCACAGTCTGAACATCTGCATCAATGTCATTGACGGCCGAGCATTCGTACGTCCCTGCCCGCTGCCTGGAGATGGATGTGATTTCCAGCACCTCCTCATCTGAAGCTAGGTCTCCTGTGAAAGATCACACACCACACACAGAGAGAGTGGAGATGGTCATTCAGAGTTAATGCAATGACTCAACAGCTGTGGATTTTGATTGATGATTTTACGCTTGGCGTCCTAAGCTAGTGACCTCTGGGAAAGTCATCTTCATGCCGGTCCTCTGCAAAGGAACGAGGAAAGTGTTGACTGTGGACATCTGCCATAATGATATTAGTGTGATTGAGGTCATCCTGGCAGCACATTTCTGTCTTTCTACCACCTTTTGTTTTTTCAAATTTTATTTAATATAGAACATTTCTGACTGAAGACATCTGTACCAAGGACATATTATACTTTTTACACCATTTTACAATAATAATTTTCCACACAAAACAAAATACACCTGACATGATGTGATTCTTTTTTTCTGGTATCTCACATCCAATTAATATTTAGAAAAACTAAACTTTCAAATGTTCATAGCCAGGAAATAGATTTTATGTTTACGTCTAAAAAAGACATAAAGCTGCAAAGATGCAAAAATGTATTTACTTACATAACATCACATTTGTCAAGATACAAATATTGGCAGCAGTCACATAATAAAAATGAAGGGTGGCAAAATTGAAACATTGATTGCCTTAATTCACTGGTCAAAATTAATCAGATGAATATATTTAACACATGAGCAGAACAGTTTCTGAAAGAAAATAAACCAATAAAAAGCACAACTTTGCATTTTTTCCATATTTATAATTCCATTATTTAAATTAATCAAAAACAAAAATGGGATGAAACAAACATCTGCCTGCTGTCAGTTATCCTTGTTCCAACAATAAACACAATAAAAAAAATGTTTTAAGTACTTAGGAATATTGTTTTATCTATGTTTATTATCTTTCATTATCCCAAAGCTAACCTGTATTTAGATGCAAAAGCATATATCACTGATGGCCCTATGAAAAAAAAGTATTATTTTTAGTATTAACTCGAAAGGAGAAGTTGTAATTGTCACATGCAATCTTCTCATAATTATGAATGTTAATTTAACGCCTATAATCATGATAAATTACCATCAAGATTAATCGTGATTGTTCCTCAGCTACCCTTTGATCCATGTCATTGATTGACAACCCCTTAATATACAGTTATTTGGTTTCAACCAGAAGGAGTATAAAATAATACCACAGAAATACCAATTATTCAAACTAAGTCAGTGCTGTTGTGTCTTTACTCGATAAAACCTAATGGGTCTGATTCATCAGCATATGTATCAAAACTCAGCAGTAGATACCGTGGCCTGCGTCTACTTCCTGTGTTGTTTCTTTAACTCCTCGAGCTGACTGACATTTTCCAAGAACTGTGTTAAAGCTTGGTGGAAATATCAGTAACTCTGCCACTAGTGATATGAGAATATGATGGCAGAATGCCCATCTGTCTACTTCTCCTTCTATCAATATGACACACTTGACAGAGACACTTAATACAGCACTCAACATAAAGAACAAAAGACATAATTGCCTTTAAGTATCCTCTCAAGATGTTGCTAGGTGACAATAATAAATTGCACTCAGATACACTTGGCTGAGCTGTGGCACATTGCTGAATTGCACCTGGGAATGTTGTTATGGAGATAAGTCCTCCATGGCACACTGATCACCTGATGAGTATCAGGAGGACTCGCGGAGATGTGCAGATTCCATTCAGTTCACACCTTGTTCATGGCTTTCTCTCAGGAGGAGCTGCTGTTTGCCAATAGAGACGGCAGAGTCAGTTTAAGATCCACAGTAATCCTCCAAGGAGACTTAATCAAGACAACGCTGTCAGGATGCACAAACTCACATCAAGCCTGGGATTTATGCCCACTTGCAGCATGAGCAGTTGTCTTTCAGACTGACACATGGAATCAAGGATTCCTTATAATTAATGCAGGGAGAACACAACCTCCGGAACAAGGCTAAAAGTCTTAGGGTTGTTTACCAACGCATGGGCTGGAAATGTGTCTTAATAAAATTAAATAGGAAAATGGTTTGTTTCTCTTAAGCACTTTCCCCAGTTTTGATGTCCACTCCAAGAGCTTTGATTCTACATATAATTTAACATCTAATTTACCAATTTACTGCCATTAACTCAACGGGTGGGTATGTGTCTTGTTCTTGGACAAACATGGAAATGTGACATGCAGAGCATATATAGAAGCAGCTCTCACTCTCGTATAAAATAAAATAAATACTAATAATAAATATTTGATTATTAAATAATAATTTATTAATCATAAAATGATGATTATCACAATTAATTGTAATAATTTCACCAGTCATAGTTGTATATTTTGGGACATCCGTGTCTTATCTGGAAATTAGACAAATGCATATTACTTCATATACTGACACCAACGAATGGCTAAGAATTAATTTAATGTATTATTCAATGTTTTTAACCTGTATTTTAAACAAATGATGAATGATAAGGTCACTGGAACTGTAATGTCAGATTTTCTTCAATGGTTTTGCTGCAGGATTAAAAAAAAAGAACAAATGGTCAGTGTTTGTCTTTCACCATCACCTGTGCTGCACAGGGTCACAGGTACTGTAGAATATCCACTGTTCTACCATAATGATATTCCTTTCATGTTATTATTAGCAACTGCTCTAGGGCATGACCTCAATGTCAAACCTCAAGCTAATTAGTATAACATTTTCTTTTAATTGCGCATAATGCTTCAGTACCTTTACCATTATAATTACCATCATCACAATGTCCTGTTCTTGAATGGGCTCATATTTGGAAAATGTCAGAGGATTGTTATTTGAGATTTTACAGACCAGCCTGTTGTCATTTGGATGATTTTTTCCCCATTATACTGCATTAGAAAATAGTGTGAGGTACTGTATTATTGTTAAGTAGCTGGTGTGTTAAGGTATAGCTGCCATGCTGATCCTGTTCATACACTGCTGCTGGCAGGTCAATGGCCCTTCCTCTGTTGCTATGGCTGAAGCCAGTAGAAGCAGAGTATATGTATAAAATACCAAGAAAGTCTGGTTTTTGTGTGAACAAGAGCAATTACAAATGTTGTCTTGGCAGAAACCAAGAAATCGCAGGGTGCTCAGTAACTGCTGCCCAGCATGACCATAGATCTGAGTAATGCACAAAAGACTCCTCATTATAGCATTTCCTTTTTTCAGTTTTAATGGCTGTGAGTTCATAAAGAATAAGGAAATAGACAACAGCAGGGCTGCAGAAATCGTACATTTTCTTTAAATTTCCACCGAGCGGCTAACAATTTCTGGAACTCCATAAGTGAAGGAGGAGGACTTGAAGCCATTTCTAAGCCTTTGAAGGAGACAACCAACTGGGTTTGCGAGCAAGTCATTAACGAACACTGTGTCCTGCACTGCCACCGAGCTAACATGCAAGGACACTGGGGATCTGCCATACAAGATGGTAGTGTAGAGAAGAATGTAGAGAAAGTCAGTAAATCTCAGGAGAGGAATGAGAAGGAAAGTGTATCCCGTCCATGTTCCTGAAATTCCATTCTTAAATTCAGGGCCAGAGAAGAAAATTAGGTAGGTAAAAGGAAAGAAAGTAAAACATATTTTCAAGCAGGGCAAAGGGGGCCATTTTGCAGAGGAAAAAAAAATAAGAGAAGAAGAGATGCTGGAGGGATGAAAGCTTTTAAGTTCAGGTAGCAAGGGGATGTGCTGGGGAAGAATAGGAGCTGTTAACAGACACACACATGCACATACACATACACAGGGGAGTAGGAGTGGAGATGCTGCAATGATTGTCTTGAGGGAAAGGTAGTCGGAGTGAAATGTGATAAGAAGAAGTGACAGAGCTTTTGTTGCCAGGACAGTGTGTGAAAGAACACTTTCCATTCTGGGTGTCAGAGAACACAATGAAGGAAGCAAGTGGTTGTTGCGACTTGGGACTTAGACCTGGTTTATCCTCAAAACAATTTAACTGCTAATGCAACCACGGTCAAGTCTAGATCTATAAACCATACGGTCTCCATGGTCTTGGTTAAAGGTTCTAATCCCCTTCACTGCTCCCCCTTCCTCAAGTCATCATGTTAACATGTTGGCCAAAGATGAGATTTGATTCACTGATTCACAATCATTTGAATTGTTATAGTAAAGCAAAAAGGGTTTCTCTTAGTTTCACTAATAGAGACCATGGGCTAAACCACATCATCAAGGACATACTGTACTTCAATGTATTATTTAGCAAAAGTTTTAAACAAATGTTGAAATAAAGACCAGCAGAGAAAGTGAGAAGTACTGACATCCAATTCCCATTGAAAAACATAAAAAAAAACAAAAAAAAAAACAGCATAAATGCAAGTTGCAGCTTACCAATGGGGATGATGCAATGTAACCAAAAGCTATCTGGAGGCAAAATGTTGTTACCATGGAGACGACTGAAACCTTTTTGTCCAATTGTTAGAAATGTTTATCTGCTTTCGGGTTGTCCCATAAATTAACTTTAGACAGTTCCTCTGTCACCAGCCATGCAAGAGAATGTACACTGATAGTCACTCTACAATGTATCCCCCTTGGCGTATGAGATTTTCTCAACGTGCCAGGCTGTGTTTGATGCATCATTCTCCCTTAAGAAAAACATTAAAGGGATGAGCCAAGGCGGAAACATAGCCACACACTATTGCTCAGGGTTCTATGTATTACAATGTGGCGCCTCAACTTCTGAGAGGATTGCTGGCAAAGAGAATGTGTTGTGACAGTGCGGCTTAGATATGACCTGACAGTAGCAGACGTACTGATGAGTCTACAAAGAAATCAGAAAGCCGGAGCTGTGAATCATCAACAGGCCCCGAGCCTTTTTCTAATATTTAGATAAAGTTTTTACAAAGTACATGAGCTCAAAGTATATACTGTTTTAAGTATCCAAAAATATACTTTACACAGTCACAACACAAGGGTGCTAATATGGACATAAAAAGGCAACTTCATTACCACTAACACTTGTGTAAATAACATTTGAAAATGTAATAATTAGTGTAATAAGAGTAGTGTAAAGAAGTACAAATTTCCATGTGTTCTTGTATTTTAGTACAGCAGCTATGGCAATCTCTTATAAAAATAGAAAAAAAAAAAACACTAGAAAATCCAATAAAAATAGAAAGTCGATATTTAAGTAAAAGTTAAATCTGAAACTGAGATC